AGAAGATCAATAGCACTCTAATGTCTGGGGGAAGCACAGCAGGGGGAGACAGCTAGCGCGGTTGACTCCAAAGCTCAAAAATACCAGCATCTCTAAAGCTTGTTAATTAACGTTATATCTTGTTTGTTTATTCAGAACACAAAGCAAAATTAAAAACCACAAGTTTTGGTTTTACTGGGAGTTATGATGGATGGATATGACGTTTTTTCTCCTTGATGACTAATGTCACAACAGTGACTGTGGCGCCAATTACTGATAACTTAATCAACTTAAACATGTCACTTAAAGAATGAACTGTAGATCTGAAATGACTTCAAAAAACTAACACAATGATGCCGGACATGAAGTCAGACACTGTACAACGCTGATCGGACTCTACCTTCTGTCTCTGCTGGATGGAGGTCATGGCGTCTGGCTGGAACTCCAGCTTGTCTGTGCGACACAGTTTCCAGTAAAGGATGGAAATGATGACAATGACCACGAGGAGGGGAATCACCACCCCAATGACGATCCACATGTTGGTGTTCTCAGCGTCAGACGGTGAGGACGCCACCTTCTCTACGGCTATAGGGGAAGAGATTGAGAGAGTTTTAAGTTGAGTTTTGGGCACGAATGTGCAATATTTCATATGCTTTTTCGCTTAGAGTTTATTCACAAACACCTTGAGAAAGCAGAGTTAAACATGCTGTATTGTTGGAGTGCTCGGTCTCTCACTGCTGTAATCTTAAATGCAGACCTTCATTAGTTTTAATTAACACTCATTTCATCCCATGGGAAAGTACCAAAAGAGAACACAGTCAGCAAAGACACAGAATTCCCTTGAGGGGCTCTCATTAGGCCTTCATCCCTTGTTTAGGTTCTTAATGAGGAAGACAGGCTTTTGGTACAACATGTACAGGAGGAGGTAATTAGCTCTAATGTTACTATAAACATACAATGGAACACATGGAGCCAGGAGTAAGCTTGTATCCTTTTTTATTTCCTACTAGGAGCTTTTGAAAAATTGCTCTTATATTGTGTCCTCTACTCTTTGCTGTACACCATCTTTCAAGTCATACACCAACAAAACAACAATGATAAAAATAATAAGAATAAGAAAGTTATTCACAATAAATAAGAAAGCCCTTTCTTTTTGTCTACAGGCACATGTCAGAAAAATTAATTTCAACTCAGTGGCACTGTGTCTTGTTCTAGGACACTTTAGCAATGTGGATTTTTGTAGATGTGAGCCTTAATTTAGTCTGTCCATGTCAAGAACTGTCTTGTTAATCAATACACCACTTTCCTGTTCTTGAATGGCAGTTATTTACAATGCAGTACTCACGCTGTGCCAAAATGCCCTGGACACGGTATCCCAAAACAATAGCAGCCCTTTGAACATCCAGGCTGTTGAGTAGGTTGGCTGTGTCAACTGCAGGCATCCTCTGGCCCCCGGGACCTTCCACAAAATACACTACTTCCAAGGGATGGTCCACACCCACCAGCCGGCTCGCACTTACAACCTGGGAGGGGTAAAAAGTAGAAAGGTACAGTGAGTCATTTGCCTAACCATCTGTGTAAAATAATGTGGTATATGCAGTTAGTGCAGATATAATAAAATTTAAGTTGAAGTTATAGCCAGAGAGCTGTACAAATGCATACAAACACATGAAAATCCATGAAATAAAAGGTTTCTGACAAAATATCCAATACCTAATAAGATGTAACGCCACCCTATATCATCTGACTTTAATCCATGTCTGAACACTGTTACCCAAGTCTTGCATTGTAGTGTTGAGGTACTGGAGTAAGAGTATTTCTTTAAGTGATAAAAGAGACAGAAATATGTTTACCATTAAAGTTCAGGAAGTTTGAATCTGGCATTTGGCTTTCATACAATTACACAGAGCAATCACCAGGCCTACTGACTAATACAAGATGGCTACCGATACTGTCCACAACTCTTCTAAACACTTGGCAGACATAATGGCATCTTCTGTTCTTATATCAAAACATAAACATGTCCAGATGTAGGAAAAAGGCTGAAGGACACTTACATATTATTATTTACTTATTCGCATTGCTCAGGGACCCCAGGCTTTTGTGGTTTTTAGCAATCATCTTGTTAAAGGTCTTTATATCTATTGCCTGATGAACTTTTACCATGAGACCACCATGGTAAAAGTTCATCAGCATAGATATAAAGACCTTGTTTGCTTTTCTTTTGTTTGTCCCTATTCGTTTCTAACTTTGAGAACGCACACACGGTGAGGTGCGGACTAGTGTGAGCTTCAATTCAATTCCAATAAAATGAACATTAGTTGTGTGACATGTTTAAATGTTGATGTTCCCAGACAACAAGTTCAACAGACAGCGCTCAAGCAACTGGAAAAGAAGTGTTTCCAAAAATGAACATAGGATCTCTGTATTAAATATGGAATGTCTAATGAAGGCCGTAATGAGCAAAGTGTCACGATTTCAATAATAAAGATGACTTCTTAATGGAGAGTGTGGAACCTCATTTTCTATAAAACTCTGTAACATTAATCATTGTTGAGTTTTTGTGCAGAAAACTACAGTTCAGGCAGCAACTATTTGGCCTCATTAGTTGTCACATGCTGTATTGAAGCTTGCTATACAAACATCCCTGTGAAACTACATATTCGAGGGTTCTCTCAAAGATCTGTCCCTTTTTTAAATAGCAGGCACATAAATACACTGTGAATAACACCTGACAAAAATATATAATAATAGCACACTTATGATACATCAATTCGCATTCTGTATTCCCATCAGAGTGTTTATTGTTTAAATATTTCCTCATGTTGTCTAATACGTCTGTGTGTGTGTGTGTGCAGTCTCCCTCTGGGTGCCCTGAGGCACAGTGCAGTCTGCTGTCTGCATTACTGAAAAGAGTAAAGCGCAGGTCATGCCTGGGTTGACACAAAAAAACGGCTGGGCAGGCTCCCTCATCCAGGGTCTAATCCAGTCCATGCATGGTTATTAGAGTGGAAAGACGGCAGCATGAATGTGTGTGTTATTGCACAACCCTAATTCAACATCCTCTTTTATCTGTCTGGGCAGACTCATAAGGTATTCTCATAGGTGACAACACCACACTGCTTCTGTCATGACGGTCTAGGGCAACTGTTTGAGATGTGTCTATGTGTGTGTGTGTTAGCAAGAGAGTGTAACAAAGGATTCTTGTGAAGTTCAGACGAACCTCACTCTCATTACATCCAACAGATGCTCACACATGAGTTTGAAATTAAAAAATTATCCAATCTAGCCTCCCCAATGACAGTATCCTATCAAGAGTGGAAGGAACAAGAGCTCATAGTATGGCTTCTATGTATAACACACATGTGGCTGTGACCAGAGTCTAAAATTAGAAATATAGTCTTAGCACAGACACAGATGGTAAAGATTCAACATCAATATCTTCCTCCTTTTTCCTAAACTGCTCTGTGGGTTTTATGGAAACAACGATGCAGGAGGCAGAAAGGTCTGAAAGAGTAAGGCTGCTACTCATCCATGGATGATATTTATCACTCTGACAGCCCCCCCATTTAAAGACCACCATATGCACTCAGACTTCCTGAAATCAGATCAAATATGCATCTCACGTCTCCCACAACAAGTCTTTCTTATCTGAGTGTTTTGCTCTCTCTGTTCCTCTGATTTCTGAATCTTTTACCCACCCCTGTCTCCGTATCTCTCCCTCCATAATGTCTGCCCTCTCAACAACAGAGACACACTCTTAATCCCAACTGCAGGATACAGAGAAAGAGAAACAATTAATAATTGATCTGCTCTTAGCAGCTCTGTGGCTCACAGGAGCTCACATCAAGTAACAGTACCGGAGAAATGAGGAAGAGGAGAATGAACGAAGACTCATGAGGTTGTGGTCTTTGAGTGGCTTGCCCTTGGGCTGAATGGGATGCTGTTGCCATGGAGACAGAGCCCTATCCTGTCCCCTTTGAGATGAGCCGAGCAGGTGCGGAGCGAACCCACAAAGGCCAGAGCCTGATTAGTAAAGCAGTAAGGCCTTTCAGTGGTTACAAACACTGCAATGCTCACATAATGAGGCCTCAGTACTCAGGCAAGGTAGTTAGAGAGAGCTTGCACCAGGAATAATGATATAAATGGTACAAGAAAGGAAGCTTTTTGAAGATTTAGTGAGTAATCCATTAACAAACTTCGTGTTAAAGAGTTCTCAAAGTTTGTTGTGTAATGAACAAGAAATTAAACTAGTAATTCTATTGTACTGTATACTAATTCAAGAGAAAGGCACTGTAGGCATATCTTGAACAAACACTACCACACAGACACACAGAGAGATTCAAGAGGTTATTATAAAGATCAACTCCATGTGTGATTAGAGAAGAGAAGAGGAGAATGGCTTATTGAGTGGCACGGAGAAATGCGCCTCTGGTGTGAACTGCCAGGCACCTGTTGCCACGAGAATTGATGTTCACGTTTGTGTGTGTCCCTGGCGTGAGGGATATATTTTACACTGTATGTATTATCTTCTCCGAAGGCTATGCAGCTGTGAATATAAGCACTGAGTATTGAATGACTCTATACATAGATACAGTACCTGAACACTGTTGTTGCCTATAGTGGTGGCTCTTTTAACACGTCTGACTAATCCTATTGCTTCCCCTAGTAGCATGGCCACCCGGCGCTCCATGTTGGCGTGGAAGGTCCTCTCACTCACTTTCTGGTCCAACACACCCAGGAGCACTATGTACATGGACAAAAGGAAACACATACAGAGTATCAGTACAAAGGGTCTCAGATTTAGCAGCTTTTCACCATGCCAAGAAGTGAAACCATCATACCTGTTCTAACCCAGGAGGAGCGAAGCACCTGGCTGGTGTTCAACTCTGGATAATGGAAAGCTGTCGGAAAAAGTATGAAAGGATGTTTAAGCAGACAAACCTTTACCCTAGGTTAACTGTTGGGGATTAGAATCAGAAAACAAACCAGCTACCAGCAGTGACATAAAGGTGAGTGTAAATACCCTTAACATATAGGCAACTTTGTGGTACTCACGCTCAGCAATCTGCAGAACAGGAAAGCCCATGTAATAGCTAAATTCCACCATTGTGAGCTTCATCAGAGCATTGCTGACCTCTGACCCCATCAGATAACCCCTTGAAACACGCACAGTGAAGGTGATGTCCACCGGCTGCCTCACTAGCCGTTGTTCCTGATATTTAGGAGCAGCCATGGTGATGTTTATAATCTAAAACACAATTTGACAGAGATGTACTGTTCAGCGGACAGACAATTACACAACAATATGTACAAAACATTCCATTCAATTCTGCTGCTGATGTAGTTTCTGGGAAAGCTTGTCTGTCTCTTAAAGAGTGAATGAATGAAAAAATCATTGGCTTCAGTGATTGGAAAGTAGACCACAAAATTAGGCAGTGTGGCCAAGGGCACAGTTTGCTAGTTGTTCATAAAACATTTCCATGCTGCAAAAAATGCTTGATTTAATCCTTACATTTATTTCAACTAAAAGACTATAATACAGGCATCAGTGTAATAGGATTACACAAAACTCTACTGAAGCCAACTACCCACATAGCCAAATAAGCTCTTTATTAACAAACAGTAAGCTCCTTTAATACTCAACAACTAGAGCATGAACTCTTTCAAGTACAAGTATCCAAGTGAAGTACCCTGGGGTCTTGTTCATGATGGTAAAATGGAAAAGAGGTGGACAGGAGGATTGGTGTCGCATCCACAGTGACAGTGACAGTCACAGTACAGAAGGAGCTGAGCTTGAACCCTTGGTCATAACCTCTGCAAAGTGACCGAAAGACTGGGATTGTGGATACAGCTGGCCAATATGAGCTTCCTTTGCTGAGTGTCTGTGCTCAAAAGAGCGCACACACTTCCAAAAGAAGCTCGTAGTGGAATAGTCTCTTTTTTTCTGGAATGAGCCAAGTGCTCTGGGAGTCTTACTAATATGAGACCCAACAGTAAGTACTGGGGAATACGGATGAGAAGAGTGATGTCTCGGCTACTATGCTTATCATGGCGATATCGCAACCCAGGCCTAACAAATTAAGGAAAATTGATAGATGGACAGATTGTGCATTAAGCTGATTCTGTCAAATCAAACCAGTAATTTAGGTTTTACAGCAAACAGTTATCTTGATAAGGTAGCTTTGTCTGACTTTGCAGGCAACCATTTCTGAAATTCAAAAGCCTAAACAATTGTGATTAAACAGCTCCGGTTTGCAACATAGTATCAAAGTCAGCCTACGCTGCAGCAATCACAGTCATCCACTGGTGAAGTGACTGGGGGTGGCCTGGGGTCAGCTCATTCAGCAAACAAGCCTCAGGTCTTGCAGTTTTTTTTTTAAACTGTCTTTGTATGCCCAATATTTTTTCCTTTTTTAGACAGTTAAATACAATGTGTTTATTAAAGCTATAGCTTTCACTGGAGGTAAGCAGCTCTGGCAGACAAGGGCTATTATTCACAAGGCTCAAGCTTATAGGCACTGGGTCATTCAGCTTTGAGGTCCGACGCACAATGAAATGCATCGTAATGAAAACATCTTGTGCAAAGCTATTTATGTTTCCCTTGCTTTCAGATCCCACTCACTTGTACTGTGAAGTTGGTTGACTCCTTTGAGCGCCGACGCACTTCTGCAAAGGCCATGGTCAAACCTTTCTCTATGCTCTCACTGAAGTTGCAGAACCGCACATCAATGTGACTGGGAACAAACTGCAGCACTGCACAGAGTGAAGACAAGAGAGTTTTAGATCAAGTTTAAAAACTAAACATTATGACAAACAATTTAAATGTTGAGAACAAGCCAGCTAGTTGAAAGGTCATTTACCTGTGTGGATTTGATATTTACGGTCTGGTGTGGTCCAGCTGGGAGAGACAGACAGGAAGCGACGACCAGACCTTCGCAAAGCATTGATGACAGATATGGCTGTGTACACAACTGGCCCAGACACCACCCGAAACACAAACTTTGGAGGGGGGTCCACAACCTTCATAGACAAAGCAGAAATATATGACATGGACAAATCACTTATTAGAGTCATTCATTCACAGTTAAGTGGCTTGTGGTAAATAAGCAGCTGATGGTTTTCAGAGGTCATTGTGGTCTTGTAGATCTTTGATGTGACTACTATTGTGATGTGTTTATCACAGAACCACTGATACAAAAAACACTCAGGAAGTGGTCTGGCCTTCAAGGTTCAACTGAAGCACTGTAATATACACTCTCGCTGACACACATAAAGTACATGCACACAAACCCACACAAACACAGCCATACACAAATACTGTGTGTGAGGGCCATTACACAGCCCATCCTCTTCAGAATCACTTTATATTCTAATAGGATCTCTTTTACATCATAATGTGTGAATGTTGCCATTGCATGCCCTTCTTAATGGCTCAAACTAACATGCACAGTATTACTTTAGAATATCCTAACCCCTGTTGAGATAAATTTACCTGTACTTCCACAGATTTGTTGAATTCCCCTTTCAGTATGTCTCTCACTTGAGATTTTGCATATCCAACAGTTGCCCCGGAAGGAAACCCTTCATAGGGAAAGCACAAGAATGGTTATAGTCCCATTCCATTATAAGAAGGTTCTCATGTATGTATTTAAAATTAAAATGATCTATTTAAGTCACACTTAAATTTCATACAACATACATGTGGGTTACATAATTAGTTGTAATATAACACAAAGCATAATTAAACGTCAAACTTACCAATTTTTACTAAATAAGCAGGCTTGTCAAGGTTGCAGAGGTACTGCCTTGATGTTGTTGCTGTGGTTGTGGTCTTTCTACTGGTGGTCGAGATGATATTGACACTAGTAGAGGCTTCAGTGGTGGTAGTAGTTTTAGCTGTAGTTTGATGAGAAGTAGTGGTGGCAGTTGTTGTTGTGGGCACAGCAGAGTCTGTATTAGCTTCACTGTTAGTTGGGATCAAGGTCATTGTAGCTGGGATGTCAACTGCATCTTCAGTCACCCCCTGATCACCCAACATGTCTGGGGGGACCAAGGTAACATTAGATGTGGGTTCAGATGAAACTGAAGTGACATTAAGAGTTGGTTCAGTAGTAAAAGTAGAGTCTTGGGGAGTTACTTCTGTTGTTCCAGCAGTTGTGTTGGCAGCAGGCTCAGTGGGAACTGGGGAGAAGGCTATAGTTGCAGTTAAGACAGGAGTGGTATGTATGGTACTTTGTGGAAATGACTCTGTAACAAACCAATGGATGTCTGTCAGAGAGAAGGAAGATGTTGCATCATCTGGCAGCAAAGGCGTGGCACTGGGTGGCAAAGCTTCTGTCAATGCAATGCTGTCCAAGCCGACAGTTAGTGTAGGTGTAGACCAATCTGTGGTGGACACCTGACTACCCCATGTGGAAGAAGAGGGATCAAAGAAGTGGGTTGGGACTATGGAAGGATCCAGAAAAGGCTCAGAAGCATTGACTAGCTGAGGACTCTCCTCTGTGGTTACTACTATAGTTGATTCGTCATTAGGCTCAAATCCTGACAGATCACTGGAGGACTCGTCCTCAGTCGATTTGGTATCATTGGTAAAGCTGCTGGTGGGTGTGATGTCTGTAGCACTGAGGGACACCAGAGTAACATTCCCTCTGTGTTCAGCTCCAGTGTCTGAACCATTGTTGTTCTCCTTTGTCAACTGAGTCGTGTAATACTCCAAGCTGTTCATGTCAGGTAAGAGGACGTCTGTCGGTTGAATTGTGAAAGCATCGGGCCAATCTATGTCTGATGCGTCAGGTATATCACTGTCAGATGTAGGAGTAGGTTCCAGTGTATAGTGAATTGCAGAGGAAAAAGAGGACGAATAAATGGATTTTAGTGGAACAATGGTGTTGTATGCTGTCAAAAGGCTGATAGAAGATGAGACATGAAGAGGACGCAACGACGAAAAGGATATACCCACTCTGGAAGGGAAGGATGTGTCATAGCTTTCTGTATAGTCCTCCAGATCATACGAGTCAGAGGGCAACTTGGTGACCAGAGAGTAGTCCTCTCCTTCTGCATTTAAGAAAGACATTGTCTCCAAGTAGTCCCCAGAACCCCAGTCCAATTCCATGGTGTTGGTGGGGTAGAAGTCCTCTGGAGAGATCTCGGTGGGTTCAGATGAAGGTGAGGTAGGGAGGGGGGCGATGAAAGGCACATTGTAGCCAGGGGCCAGAATCTCATCTGGGTTGGATAGCATGTTTATGTAATGTGCTGGTTTCTTCTCCTCCATGGGGGCACTGCTGGGGCTCAGTTGGTTCACATCCAGGATATCACTATAAGATTCATCTGCCGGAGAGTCAGCAAAAGCTAGTTTAGGCAGCTCAAAAGGCTGACCAGGAGGTGGGGTCAGTGATTGCTCTGATGCACCATCCTGCTGCTCGCTGAAAGTTGCTTTCTGCTCAGAATTAAGACCTAGCTGAGGTGTTGTTGACCTTGTAAAAGCAGAGGGGCTTAACAGTGTTATGGATACATTTGACTGAGGCTGCAGCTGGGATCTTGTAGGTATGGGAGAGGGAGAGGAAGATTGCTTGGCAGAGTTTGTCCTGGCCAACTTCGAGTCTGTGGAGAGTTTAGCTGGTGCCTCAAATTGAGGACTAGACCCCAATACAGGTTCAGAGGGGCTTAATGATGGAGTGGAAAGAGGATGCAATTCTTCTGCAAGGAGGTCACTTGCTGTGAAGGATTTTGAGTTTTCAGAAGCAACATGCCCCCACTGAAAATGTGCGATGTCAGCAGTCCTAACTTCATAGTTTGGTTCAGAAATGGATGGCAGGGCACGAGGTGAGTCTGGGCTCTTAAAGGCAGTATAATGTGAGGCTGGTAAGGCTGATGGTGATGACCCTGTTGAACTTGGAACATCTCCAAGAAATCCCATGGGATGGTGTGTGGGGTCCAACAGAGACTCATCTGCAGTAGAACAAAGAGAATGCTTCAGTTTAGTATTGAATGACAGAAAAATTCATTGCTGACTTGGCATGACGGTTTCCATTAACAATTATCATTCACACACTCACTAATATATCTGTACCAGTATAACTGATTATTATGATTGATTATATTTTCTCCACAACTTCTGAATGTAAATGATTTAGAAAAGCTTTTATACACATTGTAACCTGTCAATCTGTATCTTATATCAGCCCTACACTTTTACCACTTTTTTGATGCCTTTATTTTTGACAGCTGGAGAGAGACAGGAAAGGGGGGCAGAGAGAGAGGGGACGACGTGCAGCAAAGGGCCGCAGGTCGGACTTGAACCCGGGCCGCTGCGTATATGGGTCGCCAGCTCTACTGATTGAGCTAACCGGGCGTCCGGTGTGGCCAAATGGTTAATCAGAGAGACAAGACCGAACATGACTTTGCATGGCAGTCAGGCATGAATCCTACAGTAGTCTTAGATGTATAACTGGACATGAACAACAACGGCACTACATCAGTGGGATAACTTTACTTTGAAAACCGACCAAAATGAACATTGATCTGTGATGAAACAACAAAAAATATTGGACATGCTCACAAGGCCGTTATATAGGATTCCTATTCATCATGAAATGGGTCATTCTAACATTCTGCTCTCCTCTGGAACAGAGGTCACAGTGATAAATAGACATGCGGTACAGTAAGACACTTTATTGAATCTGTAGGAGAAAGCTGTGATGGGTTTAGCATGCTGTATGTAACCTTGGCCTATATTTAGTTAAAATCAATACTTTATTGACAGATGATTTATAAACTGCAAGTATTGATACATGCAGTGGAATTTGAGATCTATGAATTGCATGGTTGGTTTAGCAGAAAACACTCTTTCAGCCAGCTAACTCTTCCCCATATTACAGATACCCGCAACATGTACAACTGACATTTACCACTTCACTTTGTGCTTGTTGACCCCTACGAAAAATCATTTGACCGGATCACCTGTCTAACTAATGTCCTGGTTGCTAAAGTGGCTACAAAATGGAACCATTAATCCTGAGGAAAATGCCAATAAGAGGATGGAGTAAGGAAACACTCACAGGCTAATACGCTGCCATGATGAAAAGCACATGCCAGGCTACAATGTGGACTCAGTAAAAGCTGGTCATGAATCTTTTCCTCACTTCCAGCTGTGAACTATGGGAATATGCTGACATGCATCCACTGACCATATTTTCCAAAATGAATGAGTGGTTGTTCTGGCTCAGCACTTTGATTGCCTGGACTTTAAATGCACTCTAGGGAGAACATCTCATATCCCTTTTTATGGTACCTGACCTTTGACTGATGAATGATGCAATTTTCAGCTCATCAGGAAGCAACTGTACTTCTTACACACAACATTAAAATCCTTAAGGGTGACATTAGACTACTGTAAAATGGCACATGTGGCTTACGCAACACATTTCTGACTTAATTCGATTGCCAGAGGCCTTTCTCTCCATATTGCATAACATAGTGTATGATGCATGATTTAATTTGAGAAGTGTCTTGATTACACTACATGGTCAGGGTCTAACATGTGAGGGAAAGGAACAGAATCATTCTTAAATAATTCAAAGTAATAGACCTTTAAACAGTTCCATGTAGCTGTAAGTTTCCCTTTTTTATCTGCTCTGCTGAAAGAAACCTTTATACATGGTTGCCACAACGGTACTGTGACACAGGAGCTGTTGGCAGATAAACAGGACAGATAAAGGGAGACGAGTTAAGGTGCCTGCTTACATTAAAGGAAATGCTATCTTATGGTTCTTGGGGTTGTAAATAATCAAAAATGAACAATAATGCGTGCATAGAGAGTATACATAGCATAACAAACATAAACAAACCACATCAAGGAGAAAATACACATAATTCAACGCAGACTGCGTGTCTTAAATTTGTCCTTGAAAGTAGGTCTTGAACAGAGCAAGACTTTAAAGGCTTCATTATTGTTATTGCCAGAAGCAAGCCACCAGCAGCCTCTACATAGTGACTCAGCAGCTGCTGATTATGTTGCTGCTCTTTGTAGTGTACATCAGCTCTGCAGAATCATACACACTTGAAAATAGCCACAGAATCAGCTGAGGGAGAAGACTATTTTTAATACTGGGAGCACAGAACAGATCACTTATAAAAAGCATCAACAAAAAAGAAAATACTTCTGGAGCGTCATCTTCAATTTACTGCATCGCTTCATACAAGAAGACTGCCGCTGGCTTGGCCCGGGAGAAAACTCCCAACTTGATTATAACCTACACTGGTACCTTAATTGAGTCAACATGCTATTATACCAGAGCCCATTGGAAAGGACTTGGAAGGGAAAAGCCAAGACTTTCTTCTCTGAAGGCGAGTCTGTGCTGCACATTCTCCAAACTGCCACACAGCTCCTTGTCTGCTGTGCCAAGAGTTTGAACCCCTGGGGATGTATCACACAGCTGGGCAGATGCACACACTCTTGCACATGCACGTTCAGAGTAGACCAAGTAATGTGCTTAACCATTAATAAGAGGATCTAGTCTAAACAAGTAGTTTATTGATGGCCTGATTTCTCAGTTTTGTGGGGACGTTATAAATAATCACGGAGCATGGGAAGGAGAAGCCACAGCATTCTTTTTGCTCTGCTCTGTCAACTGTATGTGTTATTCTCTGTCCACTGAAACATACATATACTGATCAACTCTGCACTTCACTTTGCACTCACGCTGATGTTTGAGGTCATACTGTGGTACATGACCCCAAAATGTCACCTCATCTCAGCATAGCCCTACAGTGAAAAACACATTCATTTATACTCACATTTAGGACATTTAAACACGCATGAATGGATGAAAAAACACCCAGCTAATTAAGACAAAGACTATTATTGGCAGGTGATTGATGATAATATTGATAATTGTACCGATGATGACAACTGTGAGAATGAGGATGATGGTAGTTGAGGAGAATACATAGTGAAACCAAAAACCAATGCTCTCTTTCACAATAAAGCACAATGTTTTGAATTCTTACTGTAGTTTAATCTTAAATTTTACAAGGTTAAGAATATAGTTTTAAATATTTTTATAAAAAAAGAAAAAGAAAAACCTAAAATAAAACTGCAAACTGTGCTAAGTCAAAGCTGAATAATGACTGTAGAATGACCTGGCTGGTCGTTTTTAATAATTAAGCAGGCATGGTCTAAATATGTGATAGGTAATTCTCGGTAATGACAGTCAGAGCTCTCAGTGTAACAGACAGCAAGTGAGACTGGGCTTAACTGGGGCTGACATTACAGTAAGCAGATATCGACAAAGGCCTTCAAGACCAAACAGCACTGCCACCTGTCCCCCGAAACACGAGCGTGTCACACTCGGGTGGCCTCTCATTGTTGGGCCCGTCTGTGAAACTAGGCACTAAGACCCACAAGAGCATAAATGTCAAGTGCTCAGCTCATGTAAATGAGTAGAAACATTTTTTTTCTCCTCTTTTCCTAATGCCACTCTCCCAGTCATTTACCTTTTCTCTTTCTGGTAGTATGATAATCATTTCCACAATAGATCCTCTTTTCAATGCCAATAACTCATTACAGCAACAGTGTCAGACTGTTATTGCTTGTTATTATAGCGATAAATAACATGTCTAGTTTATTAAGACTCATACAAGCAGCTTAATAGAAGAAATATTATCCCGGTTCGTCACAAAGAAGTTATATCCTTGGTGGAGACATGAATGATAAAATATGGCATAGTCTCATTACTCTGACATCACTGAAGAATGAATGCTGGGAGTTCCATTGATTCATTACATGATAGATCCCACGCTAATGAGATTTAATTTCCATTTATCAGGCCTCGACGTGTCTTTAAGCCTAGACTTGGTCTAATGAATAGCTGCCTTGTAAATGAGCAGTACTAAATTTGCATTTGACCAAATTGACAAGTTAACAAATCCTTCAAGTCCCTTGTAATTTACTGTGAGCCTTCTACTATACGTGGCTTATAAACAGGTAGTTATTCTATTGTATTACTACCTCTATTAATCAGTCACATGAACAGCAGCATTTGGAAAGTAAGTGAAAGCATTAAGTGTGTGTAGTTCTAGAAGAAAACCTTTTGCTCTTCTCCACTAGGTGGTGAAGAGTATCTGTAATAGCTGATTAAGTGAAAACCCATTTGTCCATATTTAAGCAGACGATGACACACAAATAGTGTCTTTCTCGTGGCTTGGTTGGTTTGTTCTGCTTCCGTTTATACATACAGTTACAGGCTTGGATCCCTGCCAGCAATCATGTAAAAAGGATTGTGGAGGGGGATTATTACTGCTGTTGGCTGATCTGATGTTCCTTTATGAAATCCCCACAATAGCATAAAAAGAAATGGAACAGGGTAGAGAGACTGCGCTCAAAGCAGACACAACTTCAGGCATCTGAAATAGCACTAACCCATTTATCAAGGATGAATATTGGCAAAATCTTATGAGCTCATGTATTGGATCATCACAGCCCTCCACTAACCTATATATGTTTCTGACTGTTTTGGATAGCTCTACAGAGGCCCACTGTGCCTCAATAATCCAGTTATTACACGTGCAAATTAAGACAGCAGAAGTAGTAACACGTTTTTATATTTGACTCTGGTGATCTATCAGTGGCATATTTTTGTTTTGCTTGCTTAATTTTACTTTGTTGAAATTGACCTTTACAGAATGCTAACAGTTTGTTTCTTAAAGGCAGTCACAGTGGGGAGATTTTATTGTATCGCCTCCTCCGACAGATGAATAAGTAAGAATATGTTTAGATACATCTCTTAATTTAAAGGGCAAGAAATGTTTTGCTTCGACTATTGCATTTATTGCAGTTCAGCTCTTTCTTTTTTATATCTTTATCATTCAGTGTCAATGCGTTATGTATTAACATTTTATGATTTTAGAATTATTTTCGCAGAACCGACACATAACGTAAACTACATTAA